CTGATATGGTTTCTCCCCTGTATGAGTTCTTTGATGCAAAGTGAGTTTCATCCGCTCCCGGAAGTTCTTCCCACATTCGAAGCATTGATAGGGTTTCTCCCCTGTATGAGTTCTTTGATGCAAAGTGAGTTTCGTCCGCTCCCGGAAGTTCTTCCCACATTCGAAGCACTGATAGGGTTTTTCTCCTGTATGAGTTCTTTGATGGGAAGTGAGATTCTGCCTGTGACTGAAGTTCTTCCCACATTTCAAGCACTGATAGGGTTTCTCCCCTGTATGAATTCTTTGATGGGAAGTGAGTTCACCACTCAGCCGAAAGCTCTTTCCACATTCCAAGCACTGATAGGGTTTCTCCCCTGTATGAATTCTTTGATGGGAAGTGAGAGAGCTGCTTTGACTGAAGCTCTTTCCACATTCCAAGCACTGATAGGGTTTCTCCCCTGTATGAGTTCTTTGATGGGAAGTGAGATGTGCGCTTTGGTTAAAGCTCTTCCCACATTCCAAGCATTGATAGGGTTTCTCCCCTGTATGAATCATTTGATGAGAATTGAGATGGGCCCTCTGACTGAAGCTCTTCCCACATTCCAAGCACTGATAGGGTTTCTCCCTGCTCTGTCCTCTTTTGTGTGAAGTGAGGCTATCCCTCTGAACGAAGCTCTTTCTTTGACGGGAGGTGGAATGGGAGCTCTGACGGATGTTCTCTCCACACTCTGAATATTTATATGACTTCTCCGCTATGTGGATACTGTTGTGCTCCCCCTTGTTCTTCCCTTCTAATTCCTCACCATCTGCAATGAAGAGAGAAGCGAATTAGAGCCTCAGGAAGAAATGGAGCTCCAGATCATTGAACCAAGTTAATGAATGCTTGTGATATAGGAAGAACTAAAAATAGTCAATCAATCAATTTCCTTTATTCGACCGATAGTCAGAAATAAAACATTACACAATAATTATAAACTATAACATCATAGGGGTACATAAATAAGGTAGGGCCACAGTACTAGACCTCTCACAGATAACCCACATCAAAGCATTCAGTTATACGTTTCCGACACTTGAGTGCCAGGAAAAGGAATTTAGCCACTGACAAAGTTGTTTTCCCAGAAGACTTATTTAGCAGATATGCTGTCTGCTTTCCTCTTTGTCGGGAACTGAGCTGGGGTAAGTATGGAGTTATAAGCTACTGTCTTAAATCGTTGTAGATGGGACAGCTCAGTAAAATGTGCTCTGTGGATTCTACCTCACCCAATGCACAGTGGCATAATCTCTGGTCATATGGGACTCCTCCATATCTTCCCTTCAGAACCGCCAAGTCAAGAACATTCAGCCTAGCCGCAGTAAATAGTCTGCAGTATTCCACGTAGTGGATATCCACCAGGTAGCGAGCTGGAGCAGCCCGATACAACTGCTCCCCCAGAAACAACCCAGGTTTCACACGGGCTATGTCCTCCTGTCTGGCAATATCCCTTCATCTTTGAGCGATCACCGCCTTTGCGTGGCTATACGTCATGGACTCTATATAAAGGGAGGACAACCCACACTTCTGCACTTCCTCCACTATCTCCCCTTCCCATGGAGATTTAAAGTTATCCCTCAGAATCAAGGGGGCCAAACCCACCGGTCTGAAACAGAGCTTGAGCCATAGCCATAACTTCGCTTTCAGGGCCACATACCTAAAGGCTTGACAACCGGTTTCCAGTCTCATGATCGCGCCTGCCACAGAGGGGGGGATCCTGAGTATGGCCCTGAGGAATTGGGTTTGGATAGATTCCAATTTTTCAAAGTCCCTACGTGAGCCCAAGGCAATGCCCACCAGCAGAAGAGGGAGGACTTTCATTTTAAAGAGTCGCAAGGCAACTTTGACAGTTTGTGCCTGTTTCTTGGAGTACAGGGTTCTAATCACCAAGGCTGCTTTGGATGCGTTCGAGGCTATGTATTCTCTGTGCGCCAGGAAGGACCTATTTGATCTTACAACCTGACCCAGGTATTTGAAGCAACTGACCTGCTCTAAAGGAATACCATTAATTGACCATAAATTAGGTTTCAGTCGAGCAGCAAAGACCATTATTTTGGTCTTGGCATAATTTAGTTGGAGCTCGTGTTGGGTCTCATATTCATGAAGAGCTCGAAGCATCCTCCTTAATCCGATGGGGGAGGTAGCTAATAGGGCGGCATCGTCCGCATACAGTAGGACATTCAAGGCTCGTCCTGCCAGTTTTGGTGGATGGAAATCAGCATTTGCCATATGCACCACTAGCAAATTAATATAGAAATTAAACAGAGCAGGGGCAAGCAAACAGCCCTGTCTTACCCCCCTAGTGGTGGCAACCGGATTGGAGACTAGCCCCTTACTATCTATCCTAATCCTCAAGAGGGTATTTGTATGCAAATTAATAATCAGCAGGAGAAGGCGGCGATCGATAGATGTCGCTGCCAATTTTGTCCATAGCTGGTTCCTGGGAATTAGATCAAAGGCCTGCTTAAAGTCTATAAAGGCGACGTGGAGGGCTTTTAGGCCATTGCCAGCGTACTTGGTGGCCAAGTGATTTAGGATTAAGATTTGGTCTGTTGTTGATCTTCCGGGGCGGAAACCCGCCTGTTCCTCTGCGATGATATTGTTGCTTTCCATCCAGGTCGTTAATTTGTTAAGTAGAAATCTTGAATAGATCTTCCCGATAACATTTAGCAGGCTAATTGGTCTAAAATTGGCCGGGTCTGTGCGCGGCCCTTTCTTGTGAATTAACACAATCAGTGCCGAGTTCCAGCTTGGAGGAAATTGTGCTGTTTTGTTTATATAAGTAAAAAGAGCTGCTAGGGGTGGACACCACCAATCCTTGTTGGCTTTAATAACATCTATGGAAATAAGATCGTCTCCGGGTGCCTTGCCCGCCTCAAATTGGCCTATAAGTGTTTCCACTTCAGAGCAGGTAACAGGATCCCACTCAGGCAAGGGGGCCAAATCTAACCTTCCTCCGCTGGCAGCGTGAGCTGCATATAAATCGGAGAAGAAGCTTTCCCAGGTGTCAGCTGAAATTTGAGGTTCTATCCTTGACAACGGTCTACCCAGGTATTGAGAAATTTGGTGCCAAAAGGAGGAGGGATTTCTATTTTCTGCAGCTTTTAGAAGGTTCTTCCAATCATTTCTTTCTGCCGCAAGCTTCTTTTCCTTTAATAGTGCTTTATACCTTCTCTTGAGGTTCATAAGGTGACTGCTAGGTGCGGGGTCATTTGATGCCCTATATGCCAAGAATTCATTATATAGGCTGTTCTTGAAGCGTCTACATTCCTCGTCAAACCACTTTTTATGAGAGAAATTGTTACTATTCATTACCGGGGCCTTAGCCAACGAAGGTTTTAGCATTTCTACTAAATTGTCATATATTGGCAGTGGCTCAACTGCCTGGATAAGGGAGTCCCTTGTCTCTTGCAGTTGGTCAGACCAAAGGAGTTCATTTATCCGTTGAGCCATATTGTCGGTCCATTTTAAGGCAGTGGGCCTCATCTGAAGCTGGTTATTTGTAATAGGCACACAGGAATAGGTAGCCAATTCTCCGTCCAGGGTCAGAGAAAGTTCTAATGGAAAATGGTCACTTTCCAGCCTCGTTACCACCCTAAAGTTGGAAATTTTGGGAATTAGGTCTACTGATGTCCAAATAAAGTCTATGGTAGAGGCTCGGGAGCCTGACCAGAAAGTAAATTCGGCAGGGTAATCAGAACTGAGAGCTCCGTTTAGGAGGTGAAAATTAAGAGCCATCAAAGTTTGTCTACATTTAAAACCTGCGTATGTAGCAACACTGTCTTTAAAATTCCTGGGTAAAAGGTCTGAGGTTAAATGGGTGGTGAGGGATATTTATTATATTTAGCAAATAATGATTTATCAGAGTGAGACAATCGACCGCTGAAATCTCCTGCAACTAGGAAGGTGGCTTCAGGATATTTCTCTAGGAGAGTTTCAAGAGTCAGTTGAATTCCCCTCCATCTTTGGTCCACCAGGTTTTTCTTATAGGTTGGGTGCAAATAAACATTAATCACCATGAACACTTCCTCCGCTGTTTGTAGCTTTACACCCAGCATGGATGACGACTGGATGTCGATTTGTTCCACCTGCAGGTTTAAGGCCAAAGAAACTAAGGTAGCCAACCCACCTTGTGGTCTTGCCAGGTGATAGTAGATTCTGTTGTGCATTCAGGTAGAAGCCCTTATACCCTGATTGGGAGAAGCCCTCACAAGCCCAGGTCTCTTGCAGCAAAAGAATACAACTGCCTTTTATGTAGGTGACAAAGGATGGATCCATCAGCTTAGGTTTAATGCCAGCTACATTCCAGGATAAGAAAGTAAGTGATCTCCTGGTCACCCCTTCGAGTCATGCTGGGCCTTGCGGAACCAGCACGGCAGAATCCACCTGGGAATGCATGCGGCGAGGGGTGGGGCAATAGGCTGGAAGAAGGAAGTGATTGTAGCTTGCTTACCAGGCAATTTCCGAGCACCACTTACCGCAGCAGCAGCCATGGATTGAGGCTTAATTATTGGTAGCTGCAGGGATGGATTCTGGTGCACGGGAGTATCACTTAACGACAGGTCCATAGACTCTGCATTTAAAGTATGCTCTAAGATTGAGGGGGGTGGGCCTTTTGGATCTGCGGTTGCTGTAGGGAACATGCAGTGTAAGGCAGGTGGAAGGCATCCTTTTCGGTTTGCCTCCAAAAGAGCATTCAGTCTTGCCACAGCTTCCGAGTTTGACCAGAGGGTTGTCGAATCTTCCACTGTATCCTGCCCGGGCTTGACATCCCAAGGCCGTGTACAGCCAGGTTGCAGATCAAAGGTCGTTAAAACAGGTACCACTTGGGCTTGTGTAGACTGATCTACAATTGGTGAGGAATTCATCTTATTTACATGAGCATGCTCTTCTGAGTTACGGAGACAGAGTAGCAACTCGTCCAATCTGTCCGTTATCTCTGTTTGCTCCAGTTTTGGCAGTTGGGAGAAGGATAGAAGTAACTCACGCTCCGTAGAATTCTCCAGATGTATAGCCTTTGTCAGTGGAGGCAGGGGGGGCGTCAATCCAGCTGATTAGATCTGCGGCCAGGGGAGTTGGGGTCGTGGCAATTGGCGGACCCTCCGACTTGTCTGCTTTCTTTTTGAACCAGCAGTTAGGTAAGAGGGGGCAGATCTTGGTATTGGTAAAGACTCTTGAAGCAAGGATTCCATCGTTAATTAGAAGGCTTCTTGAGGACATAATAAGTGCAGGGAGCTTTTTGGTTTTAAAGGAGAGCAGCACTCTCTGCCTCTGAGGTCTGCTGCTAATATGATCAGTATGCTTCAGGTCAATAGAGCTAGGGGTTACCCTCAGAAACTCCGCTAGGTGTCTCCTTATATCACTCTTATAATGCCAGTTTATCACCTTGCCTCTAAAGGGGCAAACCGTTAGGCAGATTTTGGTAGCTTGCAGCAGCAGTTTGTGAGGAGGTGCAAAGTGTTGTTCCTTCTTATTTTGCTCACTTTGCTCACTTTTCTGATTGCCAGCAGCTTGAGGAATTACACAGGAGGTATGAGGTAAAACGGGTGCTCTGGGCATTTGTAAGGGCTTCATCTCAGGTGGTACATCAGGGGAAGTGTCTTTACCTGTTAGGGATACAAGCGAAATAATCTTCTCCAAGGATCCTCGGATGTCTTTTATGTATTTAAAGATATAGTCCACCGTTTTAGCAACTAGGTCTAGAGTAGTCGAGTGTTCAAATAGTATCTCATCAATGCAGCTTTCACGGGCTCTAGTGCAGTCATTCGAGTGGATGCCAGCATTACCCTTGCTTGAAGGTTTAGTAGGCAGGTTATCAAAAGGTTCTTTCACACTGGTTTCCTCGTCATTCATCTCTGCTAGCAGTGTGAAAGAGTTCGAAACCGGAACATTAAAAATATCCTTTGTACCTTCATATTCACTAATTTTTGTTTGTTTAGCAAGAGGCAGGCATCCCAGTTCCTCTGTATCGTCTAAATCTCTGCAATCTCTGGAACGTTTCCCAGTTCCTCTCCCACAAGCAGGGCTGTATAGTTGCTTAGTCATTTCTCTCTTCATGCAGCCGCCCCAGTTTCAAGGTCAATGGTTGTCTCCCCGATAGAAAGAGACGTCCTCCTACTTACTAGTTTAAAACTAAAACTAAAAAACTAAAAACTAAGGTTAAAAATTAATAGGCTTCTATACTCATTAAAACAATCTTTAAAAGATAAATCAGAGAGCTCACACTCACGCTAAGTGCCGTTCGCCATCTTGCAACTAAAAATAGTTAGATGTGGGGCCTCTCTATAGTTTTCACTGCCTTGGTTGGCTGGTATTTACTGACATATTGCTTGGCTTTTATCTGGAATGGATTTTGTTCTGACTCAATCCTGGACTCCACTCCATCTCCAAGGTCAGTCATCTCTTTGGTCAATCAAATGCAAACAGAAGCAAAAACAACAAGCCTGACAGAATGTTCCTTGTTTTTAAAAGCAAAGTTATTCCAAAAAGAAAAAGACAACACACAGAGGCCCCATCTGCATTCAAACTGCAAAGCAGGATCAGTGAGTTTTCTGACATTGGCAGGGCATCCAGATCACAGAACTGGTTTTAGACATTTAGAGCTGTGGTGACTGGGGAGCTGTGACCTATTCCTGGCTCAAATTGCCTGCAATGACAAAGGAGCAGGCAGACAGGTGGAGGAACCCGAAAAGGTGCTCCCCTTCTCCATCTCCATCCGCCTGCCTGCCTCCCCCCACCCCCTAGCTGAGCAAGCCCCAATTCCTCTCTGGCTCCATCCATCCAGGTCCCCATCTCCACTCCCCTGGGACTCACCAGATCTCTCGGAGGTCCCTGGGAGGGAACGCTCAGAGGTTGTGGGGAGGGATGCAGGAGACAACCTGACCAAGTCAACTGTCCATCTTCCCCCTTCCATCCTTGCTAGGTTTGCAGGATCCGTCTCTTTCATCCTTCCTGAGGAGTTGAGGAGCCAAAACAAGCTAGAGGGTCCTGGGAGAGAGGAAGAAGCAAAGGGAGCCTCAGAGGCCCTGCAGGGATTTTCTGGCTGGAGGGGAAGCCTCCCAATATGTTGGGGGCCCCACCCACAGCAAAATCCCTGCTTTATCTCATTTCTGGCCAGAGAGCTTCCTCTCTTCACCCTCCATCCATCCATGTCCCCATCTCCCCTCCTCTGGAACTCACCAGATCTCTCGGAGGTCCCTGGGAGGGAACGCTCAGAGGTTGAGAGGAGTGATGCAGGAGACAACCTGACCAGGTCAACCGTCCATCTTCCCCCTTCCATCCTCGCTAGGTTTGCAGAATCTGTCGCTTTCATCCTTCCTGAGGAGTCAAGGAGCCAAAAGAAGCTGCAGGGTCCTGGGAGAGAGGAAGAAGGAAAGGGAGCCTCAGAGGCCCTGCAGGGATTTTCCTGCCCTAGATATTCTCCTGCCCCTGGAGAAGCACAAATGGGGCGGCCCCTTCCCAAGAGAAGCCCCATTTCTATACCTCTCCAGTGGTAGAGTGTTGGATGTGGTCAAAAATGAGATGGCAAGAATAAATATTGACATCCTAGGCATCAGTGAACTAAAATGGACAGGGATGGACAAATTCAGTTCAGATGACCATCATAACTACTACTGTGGGCAAGAATCCCGTAAAAGAAATGGAGTGGCCCTCATAGTCAAGAAAAGAGTGGCAAAAGCTGTACTGGGATGCAATCTCAAAAATGATAAAATGCTCTTGATACGAATCCAAGGCAGACCTACAAGAAATTGAATACAGATTTCCTAAGAATAGCAAGGAGAGACAAGAGGGCCTTCTTAAATGAGCAATGCAAAGAAATAGAGGAAAACAATAGAATGGGAGAAAACCAGAGATCTGTGCAATAAAATTGGAGATATGAAAGGAACATTTTGTACAAAGATTACCATAATAAAGGACCAAAGTGGTAAGGACCTAACAGAAGCAGAAGACATCAAGAAGAGGGGGCAAGAATTCACAGAGAAGAAGAAGAAGAAGAAGAAGAAGAAGAAGAAGAAGAAGAAGAAGAAGAAGAAGAAGAGTTTGGATTTGATATCCCGCTTTATCACTACCCGAAGGAGTTTTAAAGTGGCTCACATTCTCCTTTCCCTTCCTCCCCCCCAACAAACACTCTGTGAGGTGAGTGGGGCTGAGAGACTTCAGAGAAGTGTGACTGGCCCAAGGTCACCCAGCAGCTGCATGTGGAGGAGCGGAGACGCGAACCCGGTTCCCCAGATTACGAATCCACCGCTCTTAACCACTACACCACACTGGCTCTCCAGAGGAATTATACCAGGAAGATGGAGGGCACAAGGAGAAGGGGACGACAGAGGACGAGATGGTGGGACAGTGTTCTTGAAGCTACCAGCATGAGTTTGGCCAAACTGCGGGAGGAAATAAAACGCCTAACAGGGTGGATCCAGTATCACCAAATAAATGAGGTCTTCAAAGCTGACAAGAAAAAGGGTTTTGCAATTTCAGTATTGGATAAAGAATTACTACAAAACAAAAGTAATTTGTAAAATGTATGGAATCTTATTGGAGTGGGAGGATATGGATGAACAGGTAAAGGCGGTAATGATCAAATTGGCTATGGATTTAGGGAAACCTATTCAAGTAACATCATGGGGGAAATTATGGAAGGAGAGTTGGAATTTTACGGCTTGCGAGGCAATAACAGAAAATTTGATAAAGATGTTTTAAATAAGGAAATATTTCTTTATGCCACAGTGGCAGTGAGAACATTTATTGCCAATTAATTGCCAAAAAATGGGAAAACGAAATAATTCTGACAAAAAAAAGCTCTCTTTGGAGGAGCGTCCCTGGCACTCGGGGAGAGACCATAAATGTTGTAACTACTCCGGGTCAACGCTATCTTTCTCCTTAATTCCTCATGAAGTTTCCTAATACCAGTTATACCATATGCCTTATACCATTTTCTAAAATTCTATGATTATCCCTGCTGTGTTTTATTTAATGGAAATTGAGACTGGTTTCCTAGGTGAAGCTTTTTCCACATTCTAAACAGTCCCCTGCAAGAAATATTTCATGGAGAATTAGATTCACCAAAAGAACAAAGCCAGACAAATGTAGAAAGGGAAAAAGAAAATTAGACAGGATGTACCTCCGCATCCCTGAGATCTCTGAAGCCTACATTGAAGAAGGCCTGGGCAGCTCAGAGAGGCCTCATCCTGGTTGGAAAAGGCAAGACTGGTGGAAGAATATTCCCAGACAGAACAGGAGATGCATCTCCTATGGAGAGTTGTGGGTGTGTTGACATCTCAGATGCTGCAGGTGGCGCTATGGGGCTCCCTCAAAATAGAGGAGGTTTGTCCTTCAGAGATCTGTATGGAATTTCAAAACTGATCTTATGATCCAGCAGGGAGCCTTACCAGAGAGGCCACGATCCCAGGATTCTCCTCCTTGACTTCCTTCTGCAGAGCTCTCTGGTCAGGATCCAGCAAAGCCCAGTCCTCCTCTGTGAAAGGAACAGCTACGTCTTCAAAGCACACTGGACCCTAAGGGAAAAAGGGAGAAGAAAGATGATATTATTCTACACATTGCTCTGTTCTTTTCTGTAACAATTTTGTTGTGTATTTAAATGATGGGTACAGTGGTACCTCGGGTTACAGACGTCAGGTTACAGACTCCACTAACCCAGAAATAGTACCCCGGGTTAAGAACTTTGCTTCAGGATTAGAACAGAAATCGCACGGCGGTGGTAGCGGAGGCCCCATTTTCTAAAGTGGTACCTCAGGTTAAGATCAGTTTCAGGTTAAAAATGGACCTTCAGAATAAATTAAGTTCTTAACCCGAGGTACCACTGTATTAATCTTTGTGTAAGCGGGGGAATTCACATAATAATAATATTATTATCTACAGTGGTACCCCGCAAGACGAACGCCTCGCGAGACGAAAAACTCGCAAAACGAAAGGTTTTTTCGTTTTCGAGTTGCCTCGCAAGACGAATTTCCCTATGGGCTTGCTTCGCAAAACGAAGCTTCCCCGGGGACAGCGGGTCTTCTCTTTTGAAGCAAGGGGCTGCGGGGAGATCGCTTCTCCCGGTGCTCCGAAGCGGGGTGGGGGGGCGGAACACCTGCCCCAGCCACCCCGCTTCGGAACGCTGCTCCGAACGCTGCGAAGCCGGGGGGGGCGGGAACACCTTCTGAAGGCGGGCGGGGGGCGAAAGTCTTTGTCCCCCCTGCCTGCCTTCCCAGGGGCTTTTAAATCGCCCCGGACAGCGGAGAAGTCCTCCGCTGTCCCGGGTGATTTTAAAATGCCGCCCGTCAGCATTTTAAGATCGCCCCGGACAGCGGAGACGTCCTCCGCTGTCCCGGGGTTTTTTAAAATGCTGGGGGTGGGAAGAAAAGCCCTTGTCCCCCCCCAGCCTTCAGAAGAGGTCCGGGGACAGTCTGTCCCCGGACTTGGTCTGAAGGCGGTTTCCCTAGGAACGCATTAATTGATTTTCAATGCATTCCTATGGGAAACCGTGCATCGCAAGACGAAAAAACCGCAAGACGAAGAGACTTGCGGAACGAATTAATTTTGTCTTGCGAGGCACCACTGTATATGGCCCTCATCTTCATGGAAATCTTTGCAAGCATTCCCATTTTCCAGATGGAAGGACCTCCTCTCCCTTCATCTGGTGGGGTGGACCCTCCCCCTGCCCTCAAGCCAACTTCAAGGGGCACCAGGAGGGGGAGGGGAGGGGAAGCCCCATTGTGCATTGTGAGGGGAGGGAATGGTTGGTTGGTTGGCATCCATCTGTCTTAGGGGACCATGGAAGAGTCTGTCTTTGGGAGTGAGATCTGGGGGAGAGACATGTGTTGTTGCATCTGGGACACAGGAAGTGGTCC